AAAGAGACCTCTACTCATGCTGGGCTCCTATGGGAGGACAGCATGAGAACAGGAAACAAAAAAACTCCTCTACACAGAAAGCACATAAATGTCCACAGTACAACATTATGGAGCATGTGACCAGCAACAGGGTTGGTAGGGGGTGAGGAGTAATCCTAAGCAAATACAGCAGCCATCCTGCCAGTGCGCCGTCACTCCAGCACGGGCCCAGACCCGCCGTGTTCTCCAGGAGGGAACAAGCATCGAAGGTGTTTGGCAGGGGAGGGGGGGATGAGTACTTATCAGCGTGTATGTGTGTGCGTATCCATAGTTCAGCTGAGACAGTATCCTTCGCCCTGCCAGGCAAAGTAAACAGTCTGCCAGCCAACCCAGGTGGCCTTGCATGGAGTGGGAAGAACAGTCTAAACACAGTCGTTATCAGGGAGTTTTTGTTTGGCTCCAGCCTTGAGCCCACAGCTGGCGCCGAAGGGATTGCCGCATTATGATGGTGGGGTTTTTTTGTACGAACAACTCATAAGAATTTCAAAGCAGTTCTTAACACTCCGACACTGGTCTCTCAATCTCCCGTTGGAAAGCCGCGAGCTTCTCCATGATGTTATCAAACTTGTGCTCCGTGGTCTTGTCATTCTTGTGCTCAAAGAGCAGATTCTGAGAACTCACGACCGCAGTGAGCTGCTCCAAGATGTGATCCAACTTTTGCTCAGAGGTGTTATTCTGAGTGAACTTCTCCATTGATGTAATCCAGTTTGCGCTCAGAGGTGTTATTCTGAGTGTTCACAGCAGCCGTAAGCTTCTCCAAGATCTTATCCATGAAGCACTCATTCTGAGAAGTCACGCCTCGTCCCATCGTTTCAATCCCAGCAGGCAGCCTTGTGGGGGTTTGAACAGCCGGTTCCGCTTTCTTAATTTTTCGATAAGCCAGGGCCAAGCCAGCTATGATCAGCAAGAACCCTGTTATCATGGTTCCGAATAGGTAGATATCTTCAGCGTCCTCGATCGACAGTCCCGCCAGGCACACGACCCTCCATTTCTGCCACCCGTCCATCGTGTATCCGGCAGGGAAAGTCCCTCCAGGGCACTCGGGCTCTCCCGAGCCCAGACTTCTCGTTGAGAAAAGGGTGTCAATAGCATTCAGAGACCAGTTGATCCAATCCATAATTCTCTTTTAGGTTTTAGAGAACAGACTGTGAGAGACTGTTCCAAGGAAAGTAATACAAAAAACATGAGACAAGACAAGGACACAAGAGGCTAAGCAGGGAAGATAAGGGAAAGGAGGAGAGGAGAAATGTGTCACCGCCTTCGCCAAGAGCCAAACGAGAAGTCACTCCACCTTTTCCAGCTGAGGACCATGGCCTCATTCTGTCTTAGTGCTTTCTCTAATTAAACAACAGACTTGACACTTTACTGTATCCTCTAAACTGAATTATCAGTGGTACTATACAGAAATGCTGCTTTAGCAATACCACATGCACACTATTATGCCAGCCAGCTCAGCCTGTGTCTTGTTGCCAAATATCAACAGTAAATTAAATTTGTAAATAAAAAAGTATAAATCAAACATGCATTCTAAAAAAATGTTTGAATTATTTTGTGTTAACTGTCAATTGTATTTTTTTATTACCTATAAAATTTTTAAACAAGAGATACTGACCCTACGTGCAAAGAGTCCAGCTTTCCCCCAAAAATTGATTCCTCGAAAAGTTATGAAACACTTAGCTCCTCTAAATAAGCTGCTTTTATAGATTAAAAGTATCGGGATCAATATCGGTATAAGCAATGCTGGCCCTGTAGTTACTTTGTATCAGATTCATTTTGTTGTTGTTGCGTTAGACTTTTAATTTGTAAACCATCAAAGGAAGTTGCTTCTTGGAGCAGCTGGTTTGACAATATTGCCGCTGCTACAGTTGTGTATGAGCAAAGGTGATGCCAACATCCGCTGAGGGAGAGCCAGAGCGCAGACAATGAGGGGCTGTTAGAGGAAGGAAAAGCGGTATTTCTCACTTCCACCTTATTTTTTCCATATCAGGAAAAAACAGCGCAGAGGATCCAGCCAGTGCGCGCTGATTGTAGTGTTCAAAACAAGGCGGGGCTGACGCCGCCGTCTGATTTTGGACAAACCACAAGTAGGTTAGCGCAGACACTAACAGGGGAGAGTGCTGCTGCTACCCCCCGCCGCTGCTTTTGTTGTTTTTTTATGACATCTGAAAGTCAAGCATGAATTCAGCCGAACAGACGGTAACGTGGCTCATAACGCTCGGAGTCCTGGAGTCTCCCAAGAAAAGCATCTCGGATCCAGAGGCTTTCCTCCAGGCGTCCCTGCAAGATGGAGCGGTGCTGTGCAGGCTGCTGGAGCGACTCAGACCCGGGACGGTGGACAAAGTAAGTAAATGCAAGGGGAGAAAGAGGTATAACTGACTAATAATAACCCAGTGAAATCGATATAATATGGGGAAGCAAAAGAAAGGAAAACTGTATTAAAAGTGTTCATGATAAGAGCTTCATGATAAATATTACATGAGACCAATTAAGCTTCATCCTGCGGAATTAAATATCCCTGGATGTGTAGGGTTTAAAAATAACAATCTTAAAAAACAAAAAAAACCCCACCCCAATCACTTTGCAAAATTAATCGCGAATATAAGATTTTTTCTCATACATTTTTCTTTTGAGTTGATTGTAAGGAAAATCAAAAATCAGTTATTGCTACTTGAAAATACGACAATTTGATCCTCACCACTGCAGTACAGGCTTCTTTTTTCCCCTCAAGTGTTATTTTCATTTCACAATTAAAAAAAATATTCATGTCTATGGGAATATAAAAGCAGGAGGCAGCTTGTGAAGTTATATGTAAATGTGACCCGACTTCTGCATTAAAAATATAATATTTTACTGAAACGCACCTAATACCAGCAGAAATACTTCTAGCTGCCAATTCTACTTAATGCACGCTACTTAGATCATCATTATTCAACTATGACACTACATGTGTTTTGCTTCATAGGTCGTCAGAGCCAGTTCTAGAGTTTAGGAAGCTTACTGCTTTAATGTACAGGCTTATCAGCTCATTACACACACACACACACACACACAGTGGACCATGAACCAGTCAACGTCATATCCTACTTATCCAACCTCCCTGGGAGATCTTAAACCTGTTTCAAAGTAACCTGCGCACAGGGAGGGAGTCGTCCTATCAAAATAAAGGCACGAACCATGTCATTATCTACGGCTTGTTGCTCATTAGAATTATTTTTTTTCTTATTTAGGAGGATAGCTCATAGCTAGTTGTCTTCGGTGAAGACTATGCGCTTATTTTAAGTTAGACGATATATATTGGGGTTTTTTTTTCTGTTAAGCACATTTTGTAGTGTAATGTTATCATCATAGTGTAGTGTATGATGATAACATTAAAACCCGATAAACTAGCTGAAAAATTACATTATCGTACAAGCTCTGTGTAATTGTTGGCTACTTTTTATTACTGTTTAACGAAAGCAAGCATTTAAAGGTATGAAAAAAATGCTTTTACTCTGAAAATTAAACCCGGAAGTTTGACTGATTACCCGAGCTGGCTTGATCCTGGAAAGCAGCAAGTGCACAGGCAGCAAACGGCTGGAATAAGATTGTTTTCAAGCGGACGAAACCTTTGACACCTTCAGGAACTCTTCTGTGTCTATTATGAGTTGACAATTTGGGCTAATTTGGTGTTGTTGTGTTTTTTTCTTCGTGCGCAGTTTTTCCAGGAGCCGAGGGGCGACAGCGAGTGTCAGAGGAACATAACCGAGTTTGTTAAAGGCTGCGGGGCTTTCGGTGTGGAGGTGAGTTAATGCATCCGTAATGTGCCCATTAACAGCGGGAAGCCTCGGGTGCAGCGTGTCCTGTGGTTTCACAGACAGTTTCATTATTTGAATGGACCCCCTTTTTTTTTTTACTTAAAAAATGCATTTGTTATAGTAGCTGCTAATGGCACGAGACAGTACTCACGAGCTGAAAGTGTGTCGTTAATGAGTGGCTATTTCTCCTTGAGGAAGCATTAAAACACAACGACACAATTGTGTCCACTTGTTTTAATTCAATTCGTTAATTACATAAACACTGAAAAACACTGGAAGAAGGTGACCTCATAAGAAATAGATCCTAATGGAAGCCCTTTTCAGCTTTATTTATGCTTACTAAAGCTTTGTACATACACATATGAGCCATTTTGGGGTATTCAGACACTTTTAAGCTTTATTACTGTATAATAATCTGTAAATATGAGGCTTTATATCATCAGGTGTGCTGTTTATGTGATGTTCATGTGGTCCAGGCAAACTTGGGAATGATTTTTCATAAAAATAAACTCGAAAGTTATAGTTTTTACTAGTTAGTCATTGATAAAGTGTTTAGGAAACGCCTACATGCGTGGTGCTTTATATGAAAGTTGCACAGTTTTGCTTTTATTTAGACAAGGTGGGCGTATCCTCATATGATACACTCCTCTACCCATGCTGAAAACCACCAGCTGTGGGGTTGACTATGAGGAGCTGAGCCAGTAGTAGGCCAAAATGAGTTGATTTTCAGTCTGTCTCAAAGATGTTTTGAGCCCACAGGCTTGTATGGCTGTTGCTGCCTGTAGACCATTTGTAGTTATGGAAACAAGAAGCAGAGATAAGCGTGGACGCTCTGTTTTCATTTCTGACTTGGCAGCAGTATTCAGACTGCACAACAGATCAATAATTGGGTATGTTTGTTTTCAGGATGACTATAGTCCAGACTAAGGATGCACCAAATGTGAAATTCTGGGCCCATACTAGGGTCTAAAATAAAAATAGCTGATGCTAGGAGTTATCCATTTTTATGTTTTTTTAAATTTATTTGTCATTTTTCTTATCACTTGTTTATTCTTTGCTTCCACGTGATACACAACAGCTAAACACAGGCCATCACCACAGGTTAATATCCTTTATAATGACAGAGAATGACATCAATGTCTGTCGGTTATATTGGTGCGTTGCTGGTCGATACCATTGAGTTGTGGGTCATCCAATTTGGAATAAGAGAAAAACATGATAGTTAATGTGTGACTTGATCATTACCATAGTTCTCATTTGGGGTGTGCTTTATGTCAAAGTGAGTATGTTGTTGGAGGTGGAGCAGACTTTTCTGCTGATCTGAATGCTGTTTCAACTACTGCCCTTAATATTTGGGAATGAATAAGCAGTTGTTTGGCACAGAAAGGGTTAAGTATGAAGCTGGATATTGAATTTGTTATAAAATGCTGTGCTAAAAATATCCATACCGCTCTCAGTGTTCAGAATCGCATATTAGGGTGTGTGCTTGTGTCTGTGTTTGCACAACGGCAGGCCCAGGAGCCAGGTTATATCCTGGCTCACAGTGAGTGTGAAGAGAAAGCTAGTAAATAGTGTATGATGTGACACACACACACACGTACACACTATTGATCTTAGCCGTGGAAAAAGCCATGGGGTCATAATTGAGAAGAGTAGATTATGTAACACAAGAGTCAAGGTTCTAGACGTGTAGCATGGTTTCGCTCAGGAATTGGAAAACAACTGTGAGCTTTTAGAAGAGGAATGGAAGGAGCATGAAAAGATGAAATGAAGGAGAGTAAAAGAGTAGGCTGATGTAATGCTGCACGCCAGGCAGCCCGAGCCAGTGGGTTTTCCAATCAGCTTGATTAGAGGCATGCCAGCCATGTTGCTGGAAGCCAAGGTCTCCATTACTAGCAGTCTGACTGACATCAGCATTGTAATTCTCTCAGACAGTCCTCAGGACAAGAAGAGGGCGAGCCAGACTGTGTGTGTCCAGCACAAGAGGATTAGCGAGCGGGCAATAAGTGCCGGCTTGAGCGTGGACGACGTTGAACGTGATTAAGAAGAGCTGCACAGTTAATAAAAAACCCCCAAAAAAACAGTCGTGATTATAGATTGGCGTCTGCTGTTAATTAAACCTGACCAGGGTGGGACAGTGATCCTGTGCATTTTGAGTGCCTTCGGTGCAACAGTAGATCAAGTGCTGCCTATAATCAGGTAAGCTGTTTGACCTATGACAGGTGTTTGTTGTAAGTGAGTTGTGACGGTAGGTGCTCGTCTACAGATGCAGGCGAGAAAATCTACAGGGCAAAGTGTAAGACAAGCATATTGCATGCTTGATTTTTTTTAAGGATTGTCTGAATTTGTAATTGTAGTACATTTTTTCTTTCAGCCTAATATGCTTCAGTGGAGCTAAAGTAATCCTAACCTAAATCTTAGGACTCTGGTTGGACAGAAGTAAGAACATTTGTCGGTAACTGCCAAATGTAACACGTAGGATGTCTGTGTCAAATGCATTTTGTGTGCATTTGACACAGGGTTAGGGTTTGTGTGCAAAGTGCTTTTTTTGTGTCAGGTGTCAGATTGATCAGGGGCCTGCATTAAACGGATAAAATGTGTTCACATGCAGCTGTAGCTCTGTCGCTAAGTCTCATTTTGTATCTTGGGCCAGTGCCAGTAGGAGAGGTGAACGTGTGAACTAACGTTTTGGTCCACGCTGCTCTTGACTACCAGTCAAGCTTGTATGCATAAATCAAACCAGAGCACTTTCCGAGAGAGGCAACATAAAAGGACAGTGTGGTTCTATTTATTAGATCAAAGCGACTCAGTCTGTGCAGAAACAGAGAATGAGGATTACAGATGTTCTTTCTTTTTAAATAGCTCTATTTTCCAAAGCTGACTTTTATGCTTCACTATCGCCCCACCTTCACGGCTTGGGAATTTAGAAGTCATTCAGTGTGTGTGGTGTACACAAGATTAGGAGCCTCACAAGTATGTTGATTGTGGTTTTGTGTGTCTGTGTGTGCATGTGTGTGTAATGTGGAGATTAACGAGGGGGGGCTCAGACTTTAAGTAATCCTGGTCCAGACTGTAGTTGGAGTAGGGATGTAAGCCCCCCACTAACTACTTGTGTTTCTTAATTTTTTAGGCGGACATACTTCTTCATTATATATATTTACAATTATTCAAGTGAACCAAATAGGAAGAAGATATTTTCTTATGTAGTCTTATGTAGTTTTTTGTTGCCCTTTGTTTTTCAAACCCCTTTTATTTGCTTCCACATTTCTATGTGAGATACATGCACAGCTATTTCAGGAAGGCAGTTTGTGTGATTCTCGATGTCATGCTTTATGAATTTATTATGAATGTGTGTACATTTTTCCCCCTTTACGTCAAACCTCTCTATGGTTTATTGCTGTTCTAAAATTCCCTTCATATTCTTTATTTGGTTTTCTCTCCTTGAAGCCTTTCGAGGTCAATGACCTGCTGCAGGGACTGAACTTCTCTAAGGTGCTAAACTCCTTGGTTGCCCTCAACAAAGCTACTGAAGGTAAGATCGCTGTGTGTGTGTGAGAGCAGTATTTGCTCCATCTCTGCAAACATTTGGACTTTTTTGAAGCATCTTCCTGTTTGGCCACCACATGAATTTAAGATGTATTCAATTGCATCATGCATTTGCAGATTTGAGTGTTTCTGGGGACACCGTATGTGTGGCACACTCCTCAACCTCAAGGATCAAGTCCTTTGACTCTCTGAACACTCAGAGTCGCTCCTTGAAACTGCTGCAGCCTCAGTACCGCAGCCTGGTGAGTAACCATGTCAAAGATAAGAACGGTAATAACAGCAAACAAACAGCAACAGGGTTAGAAATATTATTGTGTTGTGAAAACACAGTTTAATCCTCAAAAGTCCCCTGAAGGTGGTGCCTGCCTGAACACGACTAATAAATAACAGCTTTCTGTTTTCACGTTGTTTTCCGCTCCTCTCGTTCACAGGACATGTCAGAGGGCAGTGGGTGTGGCCAGCTGTTGGTCAGGGCACGCTTCCCCTTCCAGCAGACCAATGAGGACGAACTGTCTTTCTCCAAGGGTGACCTCATTATTGTGACCAGGCAGGAGGAGGGGGGCTGGTGGGAAGGCACGCTGAAGGACAAGACTGGGTGGTTCCCCAGTAACTATGTACGGGAGCTGAAAGGAAATGGTGGGTTAAACTATTACTGCTTCAGATGTTGTGCACCACTGAGGAGAAATAACTCCTTATTGCTTTGGTCACAGAGGACAGTTTGATACCTTTCTGCACATAGGCCTCATGTTAAGATCGCTGACTTGAGATATTCCCATCTTCAAGCCCGTCAGCAGATTTAGAGCAGCCTGCTTATAAAATATTTTGAACATTTTGCTTCCATCATGCACGATATGAGCCATTAATATTATATGACAGTTTTAAGTTTTAAAATGAAGTAAAATAAACATTGGAATTGAAAAAAAACACCACTCTGCTAATATCAATTTAACGTGAGGGTTTTTTTCCCCAAAGCAGCAGCAAAGACACACACCCAGATACACACAAACAGACTTCCTGCATGTCTGTTCTTACTGATTATAACTTCCTGACCTCTTTTAGTTGAATGATTTCTCAAGGACTGGACAAGATATCCTTGGCACGTACTGTAATTGAGATTTATTTCATATGTCATATTTCTTTTTGGGTTTGTTTGTTTTATCCAGAAATTCCCCTCATTCCTCGCCGTTCTTTAACATAGTTGCATAGTTAGGTTTCTTCACCCTGGAATTCAACAATAATCAACATATATGAGCTTTTTCTGCCTTTATTTTAATACTAACATGGTGTTTCTTTGAATTTTGACATCTTAGGTTACATTTGTTGGTTAGTTTTGTTGCTTTTGGGGGAGGAAAGGCAGGACAGAAGGAAGAAAGCTTTGCAATAACACAAAGAAAGGAAGTTCCAGAGCTGCTGTATAAAAAGAAACTTCCTAACTTTAACCTCACAGCAGAAAACTTCAACCGTGATAACAGCACTCTGAGGAATGGCAGTAAATCCAAATGTCCAGTGGGAGTTGTTTGATGTGTGAGATAGCAGGCTTATACTTGTGATTGCTGTGGTTGTTTGTGGAGTCAACAGCGATGACATAAAGCATTCTTTTTGAGAGCAATGAACCAAGATCTAGGAAAGTGTCTTTCATAGCTTCCTTAGGTTGCTCTTTAGTTTCTGTAGTCCGTCGGGTGAGTTTAAAAAGTGCATTAAGGCGATCGTTATCTGGAACATACTTTTGTGCTGTTGTCGCTCGTCTTGCCTTACTTTGCAGTGTCTACAAATAGTAAAGAGAAGAATACGAGAAGGTTTCTGTTATGGGCCACCCAGGGCTGTAAAAACAGTGGCCGGGACAGTGAAATGACATGACATTGTCGAGTCAATGAGTTATAGCATTCAATCACTGGTTGACCTACATACTGGATCAGCCACAACATTGTCCTGCAGTCGGAGGATGTTGGAGCTTTCATCCCCAAAAATTTGTTTCTATGTGACATTTTCTGAGGGAGATTTTCTGGGTGCTCTTGTGCAGCGACTGTTGATCTTTTTTTACTAGATGAGACGTTCGGTATCAGTGCGCCACAGTGAAAGGAAGATTTATTGCTTTAGTTGCTGTGTGAGCGATCAGAACTGTTACTTTTCGGTCGTTGACCTTTGCCTTTTGATCGAGTTTGTCTTCTTTGATTTATCCTTTAAATTCTTAGAAAGAAAACTGTAGGGAGTTAAGTTGGTAAAATAAAACACACAGTGACTTAAGAATGTGTTGTGTTGTTATATGAGCACATCACTTTTATTTTTATTTGGCAAAATTTGTATGTAGCTTGTATTTTGTTTTTATCTGTATTTTAAAGCCAGTGACTCTCTTTCTCCATTTTTTTTTTCTTTTGTTGTTTTTTTTTTTAGACAAAACGTTAGACAAGCCAAAGTCTGGGACGCTCAAAAGTCCGCCCAAAGGCTTTGATACCACTATCATCAACAAGACCTATTACAATGTGGTAAGTATCACAATCTTAAGAAATTCTATGTGTGTGTGTGTTTGCTCACCTACATTGTGCCAATGGATGGATTTCTCAAGTGTGTGGGCTTTTGTGGACTGTTGCAATCTGTTCTTTTCCACACATCTATTTAATGATTGTGTAGCATGTAATTTTGGAGCTTGCATAGCACCCCTACGTGTGTCATCCTTGTGTGTACGTGCGTGTGTGTGTGTGTGTGTGTGAGTGGCGCAGATGTAATGTAGGTTATTTCTTCCATTCCACTGGTTTCTGGGGCAGCCTTGCCTCAGGGTTGGCTACTGCTGATGCTGTTTGTGAGTGTTTCAATAATGCAACAAGCTGCAAAACCTCACAAGACTATCCATCATTGGGTGGTTTACCTGAGTGTGTCTCACACACACACACACACATGCACACAGACGTGCCTGAAGTCAAAGCTGTTCCTAAAAAAGAAATTCAAAAACACGAAGACATAGATAAAAGTTATTGTGTTTTTTCTCATAAAAGAATCCCCCAAAGCCTTAGAACAGAAGCTTTTAAAGTAGAAGATGCATGCTTTTCATCTGTTTGTGTGCTTTTTCATGATTGGTTACACACTGGCATCGTCTCCATCTCCTCTTATAGATCATTTTTAAATAAAAAAATATAAGATATAAAATAATATATACAAAAATATAATTTACAGTTGCTTAAAATGCTGGTAAACATATACAGGCTCCTGGCCTGAGGGGAGACAAAGCGCTGTCTTATCTGTCACCGTGCAATTCATTAACCTCATTACTGGGAGGTTTCTGATGTCATGGCGAGATTAGCCAGTTAGCCTGCGGAGTCAGACCCTTGGAAAGCTAATCGAGCCAGGACAACGCTACAGTTCCCGAAGGCTCCAATGACTTTCCCTGTTAGTTTGTGACAAATGCGCTTCCCACTGAAAAGCAGTTTCCTTATAAACTCATATAATGCTGTACAATTATCCAAAACCTGAAGATAGACGTTTACAGTGATAGGAAACTGAATGGCCTGGGACTTTTTCACTCTTTCACTCTTTTCTTTTATATTTTAATAGTATCACTTAACATATGTAATGGAAAATTTTGTGTGTGTGTGTGACGGCTTTATCAGGTCCTACAGAACATCCTGGAGGCAGAGACTGAATATTCAAGGGAGTTACAGAGTCTCTTGGGTTCATACCTTCGCCCACTTCATCCCACAGACAGGTAGAGTTATTTTTACACCTTTCGTTGTTTTATTCAACAGAGTCAGATTTGAGAGGGGGAGGAAACGCACACAGGCATATCTATTACACTGTCGTAAATCTAAATTGAATATGTATACACATATATCTAATATTTACACACACATATGAGAGAATATATTATTTGCTGGAGCCAGGCATACTGTTATTATATATTTCAGGTAGATCCACATCAGACATGTACTTTAAGTTACAGTGCCTTTACCTTGAATACATTTTCCTTAATATACTTTTTCTGTATTATCCTTATAGGGTATAAATGTTTGAAACCTACAAGGCAGGTTTTAACAGTACTTGGCTGTATATAATTCATGAAATAGTTGGATGGATCTGACAGGTTATCTGTATATCTGTCTGTATATATACAGTGTGATGTGTCGCACGTGTGTGTTAGATATTTTCTGACACACCATCAGAGTTAATGCTCTGCTCTCTCCTCTCTTCTGCAGACTCAGCAGTGTTGACATTGGTCACATTCAGGCAAACCTGGAAGACATTTCAACCTTTCAGCAAATGCTGGTTCAGTCTTTGGAAGAGCACACCAAGTCAGTATATATTTATTTTCTTAGTCTTTACTGTGCATGTCATATTTTTGAGTTTTGACTGATGACCCGTGATAGACTGGAGATAGACTGGATGGAGTTTGGACTGACTGGTCAGTTTCTTAGTGACAGACATTTCTTTCTTCTCTGAACCTTGCTTGCTTTACTGAATAAAGTTTGACTGCTGTATTTACAGGTTGTTAATTTCACTTTTGTGCTGGAATTAAATCTGTGTATGTAGTATATGTTTTTCTGAACTTTGGCTATCATATAACTTCTCTATAGCCTTTCTAAAACATGCACAATACTCAGATGAACCCATGTTCACATCCTGTTGCACTAAAATTACTCAGACCAGCAGCTGTCCTGAATGGAGCTTCATGTTGGCGATTGTTGTAACAACAGCGACATCTATTGGTCATATGAAATCATACAACCTGTTTTTCCAGTTTGGACAAGTACACGATGATAATAATGATTTTTTTGGGGGGTAATAAAAATCTTAACCTTGATGAACAACAGCAGCTGAGCCTGT